GGCCGCTGCTGGGCAGTTCCCAACTCGGCAGCTCGCTCTCCGTTCCAGATCACCGTGTATGACCAAGAAAACTTCCAGGGCAAGAGGATGGAGTTCACTTCAGCCTGTCCAAACATCATGGAGTGCGGCTTCGACAACATCCGCTCCCTGAAGGTGGAGTGTGGCGCGTGAGTAGCCGGTGGCCGGGGGGGGGGATGCTTTCCCAGGCGGGCTGGCAGGGCGAGGGGTGCCTGATCATGGAGCAGGGCTGGCTGGCCTTGCTCTGCTCACCTGGGGGAAGGCAGGCATGGGGAGTCCCACCCTGCCGGCATAGAACAGCCAGCCCTGGGCAGCAGCAACGCAGACACGGGGCCAGAGGACGGCGGCAACGCCTTTGGCATCATCCAAACCTGCCTCCTGCAGTCTGGAAGCAGACGGGTTTGGAGCCTGCCGGTGCCCTGCAGAGACGCTGCCCAAGGATGCAGCGAAGAGCTGTGCTCAGCGAGTGGCTCTTGATCTCAGCCTGGTCCCATCCGCCTGTGTAACCCCATGAAGCACTATGCTTTAGATCCACTTTTCATGCCCCGGGGCTCAGCCCTGCTCTGCCCTGTGCTCTCCCCGCGCTGTGTACCTCCCAGGGCCAGAGCAGAGCATTCCCGCAGCCCGCGCTGGGCTGCCCCAGTCGCTGACGGGGGCAAGGAGCAGAGCTGGGCTTCTCCCTGCACACGGGAATCTTCCCTGGCGGAGGCAAGACATCTCCTGAGCTGCTCTGAGACGCTGTGTGTAAGGAGCGGTCCCCACGGCAAGCATCCCGCTGGGACTGGGGAAGCAGACAAGATAGATTTGTGCTGCTATATTTAGGATTTGTAATGCTAATGGGATTACAGCGGCATGCGTGCTCACACCGTAATCAGCTCGCTGCTCCAGTTGACGTGTTTCTAATCAGGCTGGTCACCTTGCATGGGGGGAGGCCGACTGCAGGACATGGGATCGGGGCTCAGTTTCGGTCAGTGGCAAGAGGCCCTGGACCCCCCCACCCCGGCTCAGCCTGCCCCTCAGCACCCTGCGTACCCCATAAGCAGGAGCTCTGTGGGCTGCACAGCCTGTCCCATCCTCCTTCCAGCCCCTCGGCCTCCCTGCTCGGCTGCAGCGGTCCTGTCCCCAGTCTCTGTTAGGGGACATGCCCAGGCAAGGTCCCCACCCTGGGGACAGGCTGGCTCTCCTGTGGGCAGCACCAGGGCTTACAAAATGTCCCCTGCAGGGTGGAGGCTTCCCTCTTGCCTCTCTGTGTTTGTTTTCAGTGAAGAGATGGACCCAGAAAGGGGAAAGGCAACAGCTCCCTGCCCTGCCCACAGCCAGATGGGTTCTGCCTGGTTTGGGCGTTAGGAATTCAGGTCTTTCCAGCTGTGCCACGTTGTAATTGGGAGATAAGTAAGAAATGAGGCCTTTGGGAGAGAAGGGCAGGCACGGGTGTCTGGTGGCATCCTAACATGATGCTGATCTGTGCAAATAACCACAGAGCAGTTTAGGGGAAAGGGAGCCACCGGCGCAGGCTGGGCCCCCTGAGGGAGGGACCCTGTCCCCTGATGCAGCAGGGGGATGCTGGCGCTGCCGTGCCGGCAGCCTCCCAGGCACCAGACACAGTTACACATCCAGCACCGCTACCCTTCCTCCCGGACTTGTGGTCAGAGGCCAGACCCCAACCTCCTCCTCACACCTGCATCCGTGCCCCGGTGCCAGCCCCGAGCAGGAGACCCAGAGGTGCCGCAGGAAGCCCTGGCAGCCCTTGCTCTGTTTTTGCAGCTGGGTCGGTTACGAGCACACTGGCTTCTGCGGGCAGCAGTTCATCCTGGAGAGGGGAGAGTACCCGCGCTGGGACGCCTGGAGCGGCAGCAACGCCTACCACATCGAGCGCCTGATGTCCTTCCGCCCCGTCTGCTCCGCTGTGAGTGTCCCGGCTCTGACGGAGCTCTCACAACTCTGATCCTGTTAAAATGTCCCAGGCAATAGCACCAGGCCAAGGGAGTGAGCGAGGTTAGGAAGGGCAAACACAGCCATGCCAGGGGCGCTGCAGGTGGCAGAGGCTCCTTGGGGTAGGCTCAGCTCTCCCGCCCCCGCCATGCCCAGTAGGATTTGCTCTTTCTGTCCTGTTTTTTGAAATTTCTAAGGGAACTCCGGGCCAGCTGCACACAGCCAGAGCTCGGGGACAGCCAGCCTGAGATAGTAGCTGTGACATAAGCTGTCAGTGACACCTCCCAGGCCAACCCCTGCCCTGTCCTGGCCCAGCACCACCCAGCTGAGCACCTCCATGCATCTGCATTGTGGGAAAATCAGCTTCTCCCCCCCCCCCC